GTTTAACTACTCACTCAAAATGGGCTGACAGCCTGCAATTTGGCCACCTACAATGAAGTATCTTCCACTGACTTCACACCTTTCAGACTGCTTTTCAGGATGAGGTTTGGCCTCTGCTGCCTATAATTACAACAGCCAGCTTGACTACTACTAAAGAACATTTTGACTGGGCTGTGCAAGTGTTACTAGCATATAAAAAGCACCTTCAGGTAGATTACAGCAAAGCAGACTTTGTACCAAAACACTTTGCATCAAGTACATCATTACCCTCTACAGGTATTTCTAGTTTACATGTGAAAATCCCACAAATCACAAGGTATATTACATCATACATGTTGACAAAGCAATCAGGGGTACATTTTTCATAATAGGATGCAATGGTCTTCAGTATCAAGATTATTTGGTACCTAAATAGTAAAATGTTCGAGAGAAGAAATAATCATAAACATTTTTTCTTTCTCATCAGTATCGACTTCCAAAAGTAATGGATAATGACCACCTAAAACAAAGAAGAAATAAATCAAATTTGTGATTTCACAGGGCTTCAATACGAAACAACTATACATATCTTTTATTTCCTACCACTTACAAGTGGCAGGAATGGCTGAAATGGCCTTCACGTGAACACAACAGAATCCTATGCGTGTATAACCATGTAGAACTATTTATTCGGTATCGAAATTACATCCCAAATGTCATGATATTTGACTGAAACTCAGCTTACCCATCTTTCGTTTAGACTTCGAAACTTGCTGCTTTTTACCACCGTTTCAATGTTTTCTTGTTGTTCAAAAGGTGGTAGGGCCATTGCAGACCGTGATTTTTTTTTTACTTGAGAACCAGATCACAACACCCAAGCCTTTTCACGCTAAAATATTAAACTACTGAGATTTCCTTCGCCGCCGTAAGCCGCCATTTTATCTTTCCCTGAATACTAGTTCCCAAGCTTCGAGCCCGAAGGTCTCAGACATGCACTGAAATTATGATATTCGTTATTTCAGGGCCAATTTAGAAATAACGATAATCGTTATCTTGGTGTCGAGATCATGCTGATCACAACTGAACGCACATTTACCCCTTTCCTCCGCCATCTTGAATGTTGTAAGACAGTGGAACCGAGTCCTTCTCTTTATTTAACACGGTAAAGAGCATTGGTAAAGAGTGCCACGAAATTACTATATCCATAAATTTGGTGCCAATTTAGAAATAACGATAATCGTAATTTCGGTCTCGAGATCATGTTGAACTGTCAACACCTTATTCCAAAATGGCCGCCAACCCTTAAAAGCTGGGGCGAGTTGCACGAAAACGAGGTCATAACGGCCAAATGTGTTTGGTCTATAAACAAAATGTCGTAAAACTGCTGTGTTCTGAATAGCACGAAAAAGGTCTATCGGGAGGAAGACTGGAAGATATCTTTCCACAAATTTCCAAAAAATAAAGACCTATTAGCTGCATGGATTCGAGCTGTTCGAAAAGATGTTGGTCGCCACTTCAGGATATCTTCGCACACGAGGGTTTGCTCGAGACACTTCAAGGATTCAGATTTTCAGAGCACACTCGCTGGCAGAAGAACACTTCATCCTACCGCTGTTTCTTCCATTTTTTCGTGGAAGAAAGATTCTCCTAAGAAGCGAAAACCACCAAAACCCCGGTATGTAGTCTCTAAAGCGGGGCCTCAAGTTGCCAACGAAGAGCTCGAGGTAAATAGTACAAGCTTAAATGTTGACAAGGTTGCCGGTTTAGAAATTGTAAGTCTATGGGGGTTTACGAAATATTTGATTCGTTATACAACTTATGTGACCCTGGTGAGAATGGCGAAAATATTCGTTATTGGCACTCGTCATCCACAGGCCAGGATAGAACTGTTCTTAGTGAAAATGATGAATACACAGAAACATTTCCAAAGCCTGGAAGACCAAGGTTACTGCATCCTAAGGAGGAACTTTTTATTACTTTGTGTAGATTAAGACAAGGTTTCGCAGAGGAACATCTTGCTCATCTCTATGGAATATCTCAAGCTACAATGAGCAGGATAATAATAACCTGGGTCAACCTTTTATATTTAAGGCTTAAGGATGTACCCATGTGGCCCTCTAGAGAAAAGGTAAACAAACACATGCCAGAGCAGTTTAAAGGAAAATATCCCTTGACTAGAATAACAATAGACTGCATCGAGGTTAAATGCCAAATGCCTTGCAGCCTTTGTTTAAATAGTGAACTTTTTAGTACCTATAAAAATAACACCACTCTGAAAGCCCTTGTTGGAATAACCCCAGGTGGGGCACTGTCATTTGTGAGCCAGGTTTACACTGGACATATCTCAGACAGGGAAATTGTTCTACACAGTGGCATTTTAGATCAAAAATTTGAGAATGGAGATTCAGTAATGGCAGACAAGGGATTTACAGTGCAGGACCTGCTCCCTCCAGGTGTTGGGCTAAACATTCCTCCATTGCTCTGTGTTTCTTCCAGTGCTCTTCATCAAAGTGTATCCTTTCAATGCTAAGCCCCCTGCTCATGTACACAACAAAGTCATTACAAAACTTCTTATGGTTTCTTTTTCTTCTTGACACCTTTCCAAAATTTGAGGCTGTAAATCTATACCTGCGTTCTTCAGTCCAAGTATTACAATTATGCTGACCCCTCGTATTTTCTTATATCTTTTTTGCATCAAGCATAGTAACCTTAAGTTCATCTAATAGTTTATTCTGTAGTATATCCAGATCATAAGGCAGATCTAACACAAAGTCATCATTCAAATAATCTTATGGCAGTGAAGGATAAGAAGGTTTGGAATTTGATGCTCTTGAATCTGGTTAAATTGGAGCTAAGTTACATGTAACTTTAAAGTTAGATTCCTGGAATGAAAATTGGTAAGATCCAAATGACCCTGCAGGACTTTCCCCAAACCTTGTGTCAACAGGGTCATTAGTGTTCAGTTCACAAGTTTGTACCAACCTCAGAGTTGGATCTATTTTTTGTACAGCCTCTACAGAATCATTTAGTTTTGATTTCCTATTGACTTTTCTTGCTTCATAAAGCAGACTTGTAATACCACAACTTTTGTGCTCACCCTCTACTTGTATTTTAGAAACAGAAACTTCCATAATATATTAGGATAGGATGAAATACCTTCTACCCAGGGTTGATGCCATCTCTGCAAGTTTGAGGTGCATACTGTTGAACAGTTTTCGTCTGCCTCATGTTGTAGTTCTGTGACACTTCTACAGTTATAAAGAGTGTACTAGCATATCTTCAGCATTAAAGCTAAAACGTGATTGCAAAAACCGGATTTCCCGGCAGCACACGAGGGGCCACAATTTGCATGAACAACCTCTCCAGAAATCAAGCATAAAGCAATAATTAAATTGTGAGGGCTTTCGTACCTTTTAAAGCTACGAAAACATTTGCGACGATAATAAAAGTACTGCTGGTCAAAGTTTGTGTGAATATCGTGTAAATATTCGTCTTCTAGGTAGGTTTTAGCCTTTTTAAAGCCTATGGGAACAGAATGATGTGCATGTTTATCCCCACCAATATGTTTCCCAGACTTTCCAATATGTCTGTCCATCTCTGCCCTTGTAAAAAGAAGCGCCTTTTCAAGGGATGATCCCCTGCCGTCCGATGGAATTTTCGGTTTCCTCTGTGTCCCAGGTGATGGTGTTGATGAGCTTGCCATAGCACTTGAGTCGTCCGCCGTTTTGTTAGAATTCGCAACCATACGGTAAAGCTTCCGTTTCGTGTAAATCATCTCGGGATCTGGATCGACAATATTTTGATCCAACCTTCTGCTTACATATTCCTCTACCCTGAAATAAAAGAATACAAATCATAATTCTACATAACGCACACAGCAAACGATCCTAAATATTCAGTAAGTCTTACCTTTTTACGAGCTGGGCTTTAGTTGACAGACCTTTGCACGAGTCGCCGCGACAGCGCAACCAAAACTCCAATTCGGAGTTCTTCAGTGTTGACGGTTTTCTTCCAGCAAGCGAACTTCCCGAAATATCTTCTTCGGTTAGTAAACGGGGTCCATATAAAGTATTTGCCATATTTTCTCTTCCTGACCGGAAGGGTACGTTACTAAATGATACATTTGTCGAAAACTTCTTAGTAGAAACTGTAAAATTTCTTAGGTTTGGTTCTTTTGACCTCGTTTTCGTGCCACTCGCCCCAGCTTTTACCGGTTGGCGGCCATTCTGGAATAAGGTGTAGTGAGAAATGTTTGGCCCTCCAGGCGTTAATTACCGATACCTGGAGAGCTAAACAATAGCCGAGACTAAGCTTTGACAGCGTGGCAGACCAGATTATCGATTGAAGGATCGGTCACTCAAAACAAGGGGAGTGGATTGGCCCCATCGTTTTCAAATGATCCTCGCAAGAGAGCTGTAATTTAGGCAACAGCGTACGTTGGCACGAGAGAGAAAAACAAGGAAGACAGCAGCGTGGTACAAGTGAGTTTGCCCTTCAAAGATCAAACATCAGCAATTAAGAAGCAAATGCGTGATCTCAGTCATAAGATTGGCACTACACTACAACTCGTGTTTATCAGCAGAAGATTGGAACTACACTTCAAGCCCAGAGAAATCAAGTCTCCAATCATAAATGCGATCTGTAAACACTTTTCGGCAGCTCATGGGGATACAAGCCTCCTCAAAGAAAGCCAATTCCGCATTCTAAAAAAGTACCTAGGAAAATTAGACTGTCTTGTTTATGAGATGCTTTTCATCAAGCAGCGTAATCCTTGTCTCAGCACGCAGACCGATTCCATTTGCGCAAAATTCTTTGTTTAAAAGAACATTCCATTACCAATTGTCTTTTTAGTATTTAAACATTTTTTATCTTTCACTCTTTGACTTGATAATGACGTTAGCCAAATGTCGAGACGTCGTCAACATATTTTTTAATATGCTTTTACGAAAATGTTTTATCGCAATTTTTTATCGTTAAAGCGTAAGAAAAGCTTGAAAAAAGTCAGGCCGCGACGGGGCAAATTTTTATTTAAAGGATTCTTCTCGGCGGCGACGGCCACGAAAATGTAGCGAAACCAAAGATCTAATGAGCAGAGCAATAACACAACACGTGCGTTTTAAAATTTTCTACATTTCTTAGCTGTCCCACTGAGAACAAAAACGTGAAATCACTATGGTTTACGTCCACTTAGCAAGAAAACCGCGACAGCCTTGAATATAGTCTCGTTTTCACCTTGAACTAAACACGACATTCACATATTATGCAAAAGGGAAGATGACGCATCATCAGAAACGGTTAATGCATCGAGCTACTGGCGAAATTCTGAACCATAACCAGTGGAAACAAATAGTAGCCAATGCAATCTGATTGGTGAAAGCGACACGTGTCCTGCATCAACTGATTGGAGAGAGTATCTCCACTTTTCAAGCCTCAGATGATGTTTTTGTGAGAATAAATGAATAAATAACTCGAAGACAATCATCTCTATAAATACAGTCATTAGAGCATTGTAGAAAATGGTATGTCACAATTCAAAGTCAAACTCTAATCCAGATCCTTTCAATTTCGCTAATACTTCCTTTTCAAATCTCTGGTTTAACTCTGGGGTGAAGTGTTCCTTCCAGTTACCAACCACACCCTTGCAAAGAAACTTCGGTCCCTCTATCTTGTCTCCCAACGTGAAGCTTTGAACGTTCTTCATCATTCCTTTGAAGGTGCACTGTTCAGTTATTAGACTAATAACTTCTTCTGACAGCGGCTTATTGAGAAATTTGGAAATCATGCGAACGTTAGACTGAAGATCCTAAAAAAATAAATCATAGTAATAATAATGATATAGAGACTCATTTATTTGGCTCAACAATACTTTGCAGGAGACTTTGCATCGAGCAGATTACAATTTTTGAAAGAGAATTTTGCAGGTTTCCTCAATACTGGAATTTTTGGAAACAAAACCAGACCAAAACACTGGGAGTTACGTTCCCTACACTTTGTGAGAAGTGCGTAAACTCATAGACGTCTCCTGCAAACCAGTACAGAGGAGATACAGGAGACGGGGCCTACGGTGTTTCGTCTTTACCCGAGAAGCTTAAGACGTCTAACCCGATCTGAAGATGTCATAGCTAGCAAAGACAGCACGTCCTATTCAGTTATTTTTAGACCCTGACTGTTGATTCGGTCTGGGGCAATAATATCTTCCTCTTTTACTCGCACAGACTCTAAATGACATGAACTTAACTACGAGCACGATTAGCCCCTAAGCCCACATAGTTATTGCCAGTCAGACACATTTGAACAAAATCTTAACTCTACAAAGAAAGAGAGAAACGATGGGACTGAGGCGCACATAAAAGTATTACACGCCTTTTACGTGCGTCTCAGTCCCAGATTTCCCTGCGGCGCGATAACATCAAAATTTTTTTCAGTGATTTTTTTTGTTTTTGACTCGCTTTTTGACCACTAATAATTGTGTTCCATCTAACATCTAGCAGGAATTCACCAACGTATCGGACGCAAACATTCATTCTCATAACACGCGATCTTCCTCCTCAAAAAATGAACTTGTCAAAAAATAAAAAAAATGTCTTATCTACCATGCGCATCAAGCTGTGGAATGAGTGCCTAGGAGACCAACCAAGAAAATCTTTTTGAACAAAACTCCATGATATTTTGTTTAGCATCCTGGCAAACAAAGTCTATAATCTCTCCTATACCCTCTTGGGTAGTGTATACCTGAGGGTTATTTTTAATCTCTCCTATACCTTCTTGGGTAGTGTATACCTAAGGATTCATTTTTAATCTCTCTTGTACCCTCTTGGGTAGTGCATACCTGAGGATTATTTTTAATCTCTCCTTTACCCTCTTGGGTAGTGTATACCTGAGGGTTATTTTTAACCTCTTCTATACCCTCTTAGGTAGTGTATACCTGAGGATTCATTTTTAATCTCTTGCATACCCTTAATCTCTCACCATGACCTGTATAAAGAAGGTTTTGTCGGAGTTAACCTTATATAGGCCTAGGTCTTCGATCATGGAGGTGAAATCAGCTTTACCGGTGCCGCTTTTTAGGCTATTTTTGAGTTTCTTCGTTTTACGTGTTTTAAATCATTCCAGTTATATGTTTCTGTAACATTTGGTCAAGAATATTTGTGGACCTTGTGTTAACGATTTACTGTTGTCTTCTTTAAGATATGTATTGTCTCTACAGAGAAAATAAGCTTAGCGTACCGCCCCTTAAGTTTTTTCGAATTAGACCCGTTAAGTTTGTATGAGACATTTCTCTGGACTCTTGTTTCTGGAAAATGAGCGAAAAAGTAGAGTTGTATCTTGAAAATGATTAGAAATGTAATCATCGGAAGTTGCGGTTTTTCCCATTTCATTCGAGGGGAGCATTATTAACTTTTCTGAAGCGATTATCGGATGTCCTGGAATGTTTAGCGAACACCTCATGCCACCAAGAGGCGTCGAACCTTGGCTTGACTTATGCAAATTAGCTGGCTGCTTATTCAATGTGCAGCCAGCTAATTTGCATAACATTTTTTTCCGACATATTCAGAGTCACATTACATTGAAATGCATTACGCATATTTTGCGGAGCTAAACAAACTCCATTTATCAAACTGTTCAGGATTTAATGAAATTTGATAAAATAACTAGTCCATTCGCACTTGTTGGGTACCAAATTGAGTATTTACCATCTCAGATCCAACGCACGCTTATGGAATAATTGCTAACAGGAGCACGGGGCTCCTGTTCCTAAGCATCAACCTCCGAGCAACTCGCGCTGGATTTACACGCGAAAATATTTTAATCTTTGCAGGTAAAAGTGAATTAAAATCATCTTTTGGAGCTATTTTAGTATATACTAAAACAGTAGGATGGGTAAAATTTCCGCACAACTCCATACTATTGTAAAGCAAATCTGTTTTCCCAATGGAATGTATTGTTTTTGTCATTGTTTTCTCTATCCAAGAACTGAACGCATAATGTAGTATGGAGCTGTGCGGAAATTTTACCGTGGGATGTTACAGCTCAGTGTCGGTGGCTAACGGTGAATATTTACCTTCACGCTTCGCGGCTCAGTAAATATCCACCGCAAGCTACTGAGGTATATAGTAGTTGACTATATAAACTTTCACCTGATATTTTCCTTTTCGACATATTTAATAGTAGTAAAATTTGTTTAATATTTTAGTAGCTCACAACACTACTTAAGATAAAACATGACCCGCGTTAGACCCAATGTAGCTATTTGCGGGTCAGCCAATGTAATATTGATTATCTGAAAGTGTAAATAAAAAAGTGTGTCAATGAGAACAGATGAAAGGTTAAGGACTCTGTGGTAAGCATACAGAAGTAAGAGGGAAATTTTCATACCTTCTGCAGGTCTTCATATTTAAGGAACAGAACGTTAGGATCATGTCTGTGCTTCCACCATCCAAGAACATGATCACTCCATTTGTTGTAAACTGCTGATTAAAGGGAAATTATTCGCCTGATAAGCACTCAAGCTGAACGGCAAAACAAAAGTTTTACACGTACTGACAATACTGAACATAGCTCCTGCGGGGAGCAAAAGATTTCGTTTACTACCTGATTCACGGATCAACGCTGGCGCACGGAATAACTAGTATTTAATTAAGGAAAAAGAAAAGGAAAATAAAAAGTTTATCGAACTGATAGCCTGCAGTGCTGGCTTATTATTTGGGCGAGTTACCGTTAAGAATTTCGTGATTTTATATTTAACCGGCAATGTTTGATTCTGGAAGTAAAAGCGGCGATAGGGGGGAGGAGGCTGTGAAAGGCCTACTATGGCCGTGGTTCTCCTCCGTGATCGACATAAACGCAATTTGAAAACATTTCATGTACTTACTTTTACCCTCGATAAATAATTTCGCATAAAATTCCCATGGTGCATTCATTCCGTTTGTGCCAAAGCTACCCATAAATTTGTAGCTTGAGACTGCAGCATCCTTGGGGTTGCGAGCGACGTAGATATATTTACAGGTTGTCTTGGCCTCGTCTGTACTCTTAGGAATCGCATCATAAGACAGGTGGCTCTTAAACAGACGAGGGCTCGGCATACTTTTGATATCAAGATGAGTTGATTCTGGTAATAAAGCTTTCTCTATGTACAAGACGCGATCTCCAAGAACTTTATTACTGATTTCGCCATCGTGATAAATCTGCCAGACAATTTCTTGAACCCAAGTGGTCCCTTAAATTAAAAAATACATCAAGACAATTGTGTCGCCAGCAATGTCGGGTTTAAGATTATTCACAAAAGCTCTGGGAAATATTTGCGTATGTAATGCTTGGATAAATGAGAACAACGGCGAAAGCGATAAGATAACTTTGAGAATGCAGCTTTTCAAAGAATAGCGTGGGATTATTCGAAAATCTTTCCAAGCTCCGCGTCATATACAATTGAAAATTAGCTCACCTGACTTGGGGTAACTGACAATAAATACATCATCAGGTTTCGTCTGAAAATTAGTGATGAAGTCGCACAACAACTCAGGACCTTGAGAGCCATACACAAAAAACGCTGGAATTCTAAAGCCTAGGATTTCAATCATTTCATTGGAGGTCCATTCCCCCTCACGTTCCTGAATGATCGGGTAAGACGCCATACTTTTCAGGAATTACGCCGAAACTGAGCTACGGGAAATTTCGAAACGCGAAGGTGTCATTTGTTCGACACTTCAGAAAGATTTCCGTTATAATATCGCACTTCATTATTCATGCAATTCTTTAATGAAAAACGATGGCGCCCCACATGGAGTAAGGCGTTGTTTTAGAAAAGGCAGAATTCTTCCTTTAACTTAGCGCAGGTGGGGTCGCTAGTTATATTAATGAGTCACCCAAACATTCAATATCCATCGAAGCAAATTTTTATACGTTGTAGAATTTAAGGAAGACGCTTGATTAGTGTGCTGATTCGCAATAACATTTATGCTATTTTATTTATTTATTTTCCACAAAACATTACCTGTAATTTAAAGGGAGGCTATCAATAATTACTGAAGGATTGAAATATTACAGTCAGTTACATATCAGAAAACAACGCAAGTCTGAATGAGGCTAGGAACAAGGTAGAAGTGTTTTAAAATTTGGGTCTCTCAGACGATAAATCATCGTACTAAGATATGTATTAGTCTGTATTGCACTTGTGATGAACTCATATGAAACTGATTTAAAAAATAAATTAATCATATCGAATTATGTCGCGCGTTTTTGAGAGAGTGTCCACGAGGGAAACAGGTGAAGACTGAAATTTGACCGCAATTACCCCACAGCACATGCGATTAATAAGGGTAATTGAACCGCTCGTTCGATTTGAAATCACAAGTATGAATTCAAACCAAAATTGCACGACACGAGGTTCAATTACCACTTTATTACATCCATTTTGAAATCACCCAAATACGGGACTTAGTAAGTTAGAACATTTTATTGATGCAGTACTGAGCCGGTTAGAAATTAAAATCATCCTTTTTTTTTGGGAGGGGGGGGGGGTGGAAGAATAAGAGTTTTGGAAACAAAAGTTGCAAAATTTGCGACGATACTCTTTGTCTTTCATTTTCCTGCAATTAGATTGGTTACTTTAAACAATCCTTGAAATCTGATTGGTTGTTTTGTTTTTAGTGTAGCCCCCTCATTGGCTGGGGAAAAGATGCGATTTAAAGCAAAAAATGGTGCGATTCGTGAATGAATCGCACCAATTAAAGCCAATCAGATTACAGGGACCACCAGTGATTTCAGAATGGGTGTAACAAATAAACAAACTAGGCTGTTCATAACTAATAATGTTCTGAGATTTGTTTTAAATTTAATAATAATTTAGTTATGCAACGTGGGTCTATTAAATGACTATGGATTATCCAGAGACGTATCTTAGAAATAAGTCATTTCTTTTTCTTAATTATTCAGTATTCCACTAAATGGTTAGGGAATATTCGAGACAGACGCGCGATTTATGTAGGCGCGAGTGATTTAGGACCAGCACACGCGAGCGAGGCGTTCTCCCTCGTGTCGCGTGTTACTCATATTCTCGCCAAATGTCTGCTTCACAGGCCACTTGAACATTAGTTTTCATTCTGAAACATTCGTTCTCCGCAAAATTATTTGGAAAGAACATGGTATTGTTCATAGAGATTATATCTCAAATTCAAACTCCAATCCGCTTCCATGTAATTTTGCCAACACTTCCCGCTCAAATCTCTCAGTTAGCTCTGGAGTAAAGTAATTATTCGAGTCTCCTACCACGCCTTTTCGTAGCAGCGAAGTCCCACCATCGCTGGTCGCGTAACTTGAAGCATTTTTCTTCATTCCACTGAAACTGCACTGTTTAGCAATGCGACAGAGGACATCCTCTGACAGCGACTTGTTAAGGAAGTTGGCGATTATTCTAACATGGGAAAGAAGATCCTAAAGCAGATTTGATCACATTTGTTTAAACAAGTTTTTAATACAAGTTTTAAACAAGTTTTAAATAAGAATAGCAAATTACTCACAAATTCTCTTCCCCATTTGTAGCAGAACATCGCAATACACTTGGTACAATTTGGTCCGTTCGCGTAGTTACTCTAAGTCGACCTAGTGCAACCTGGTGCGACACACTGTGCTGTATCGTGACAAAGTGCCGACTACTGGCGCAAGTGTCATGCGACAAAATATTTTTCTCGATCTGCGAAAATTTTCTGGATTTTCGAAAGATTCTTAGATTGTAAATTATTTTCGATTTTCGTAAAAGTTATTTGTGGATGTATGAATTAAACCATGATTTGAAACTGTTTTCTCGATTTGACAAACTTTTCAAAAGCGATTTGTCAAAAAGATATCGATTCTTAATATTTTTTGGGATTCGCAAAATATTTTTGGATTTTCCCTTTTCGGCTTCCGTAATAGGGTCTTAAATCATAGTTTTTTTTTCAATCGGTTCCTTAAATTAGGAAACAAACTACGTGAACTAGCCTATCTGAATTTAAATCACTGTAACGATTTAGGAGCCAACAAACCTTGTGCATATCTTCATATTTGAGAAACAAGATGTTCGGATCATCTTTCTGCTCCCACCAGCCCAGAACATGGTCATTCCAATGGTTAAATCCAACTGATTATAACATAGAGAAAAAAATTTCATTCAGAACAAGTATTTCCATTTCAAAGTAAAAAAAGAAGTTGTTGTTCCTCTCCTTTGCGAGTGACTTACAATGAGGGTCAAAAATCCCAAGGACAGTTGCCAAATACCATGCCATAATTTCTTGACTCCAAAGATCTATGTCTAAATTTTCTGCTATTTCTGCCACACATTACTTAGAATTTTAGCTCTGAGAATTTAGAAGCTATAAAGAAACAAAAATACTATTGCTGATATTTTTTTCCTTCTTAACATCATTCTGCTTGAAAAAGTATTGATATTTCAAGGCAAAATTCCTGTTTGGTCACTCTTGGCAGGGTGTGTATAACAAACCCTCCTGTACTCCTTTATTGTCTAGAAGTAAATTCTTCCTTTTCAGTTGGATAAAATCCAAATGAAAGAAAATTTGGGTAAAAAATTTCTTCAAATCTGCTAATTGAACACCAACACACAAAAGTGATCTGAAATATGAACTTCACAAATAGGCAGCAGAAAATTTCAGTAGGTGGCAAAAAAAGACTCAGGTGTTACACTATTCTCCTAAACAAACACAATGAACCTAGTTAAGTGTGTTCTCCATAGTTCAGAGGTAAGAATTGGAGTGCACAGCCAAGAAAAACATGAACATTAACAACTCTCTTTAAATTACAGCAAACTTCAGTTTCTTCAATCTCACCATTTCCTTCAATGAACAGCTTGGCACAAAATTCCCAGGGTCCACTATATCCATTTCCAATCAAATTTGAGCTTGTAATGAATTTGAAGTATGACACAGCAACATCTTTAGGATTGCGGGCAATGTAAATATATTTACAAGTGGTGTTATTGCTTGCACCTTTGGGAATAATTTTGTAAGGTAAGTGTGTCTTAAAAATGCGAGGACTTGGCAAAGAGTTGATCTCTGAAACTTGTATTGGAAAGTGTGGCGAAGTTAGAGTATCTAGGAATGCAATTCTTTTAGAAATTGAGTCACTGTTCACTTCTCCTCCATTAAAGATCTGCCAAACAATCTCTTGCACCCAAGTTGTCCCTAAACAAACAAAAGCAAGTTTATTTCAACTGTAGTGGATAATTGATACAATTTATTGCAGTGCAGAGATATATCAATAAGGTATGAGAGAAGACTTTAATTATTACGAGCAAAATGTTAACAAGGCTGAGGAAGCTGGAAAAAAGTTTTTGAAAAAAGTTGATAACAAAACATGCTTTGTGAAAAAAAAAAACTATTACCTTAATTTTGCAAGACAACAACAAGTCCCTAATAACAGTTTTCTGATTGGAATTTTTAAAAATTAACAAAAGATATGAATAAAATGATAATAAAGGTAAATAAAAGTGATAATAGGGGGGTTGTAGTCTCCTATGCAGTTGTTTGTTCAAATTTTATGCAATAGGCCTCCCCTCCCATCCACCCCCTCCCCCCTTAGGAAACAGCTGCTCACATCTATGATCCACTTAACTGATTTTAGTCTCCTTTGCCACCGTTGTTTGGTTTTGTCAGAATACCATACTTATATCACTATCAGTATTTAATCTCCTTATCATTTCACCTATTTTCTTGTGAGAGAGAACGCGCTGCGTGACAAGATCAAACAACTGCAGCGAAGGAGACTAAATTGATAGCGTGATAGTCCCGAAGGTAAACCGTTGTTGAAGCCATTGGTTTTTTATTACTAAGTAAATGTTTGCATCATGAAGCATGAAAATCCTGTCCTCAACAAGTACCAGGCAACATACAACATCTCGTTTACAGTTCCTCACCTGACTTTGGATAAGACGCCACAAAAACATCGTCCGTTCTCGGATGGAAATCCGAGATGAAGTCGCTAAGTAATTGTGGATCGGTTGTGAAATAAGATGGAATTTTCACTCCCAAGACTTCGAGGAAGTTTCGTGACCTCCATTCCCCTTCTTTTACTTGGATGACTGGAAAGCTGGTCATGATTTCGAAATACTCTTAGCACTTTAGTTACTATTATGTGCAGCACGAACGATTACTATTTTGCCCAAACTAGAAGAGCGAAATCTGGGGAGAGCGAAGGGGGTCTCTCAAGAAAATCTAGAATGGCCCTGAAATATGGGATGCTAGGACTGTGAATTGCTCATTATTAATAGAGGAAACTAACGCCTTTAGCTAAAGGATAACTAATAATGGGAAAATAGCTCAGATCGTAATAAGTTTAGTTTGAACTAACATTTAAATCAAAGTCAAAGACTGCAGTAGGTGACGTAAATCAGGAACGACTTTGATTATTTTTAGTACAATCAAAACCATAACAAAATTGTTGAACGTGATTGGTTCTCACCAGCCCAATTTGAGCACTAATAGTACAGGGCCGGGTTGTTCAAAGCTGGGTTAAGATAACCCAGGGTTAGTGTAAAATTTTATTTAAGATCTGAAAGCTTGAAAAAAAAAATTTAGCTTAAATCTTTTTGTCCTCAATTTGTTGATTGAATGCTCTAAACATAAATGAAGAAAATTGTCCTCAAACAGCTTTTGAACAGAGAAGTATAGAAACCTAGATTAAAATTTAACAGTGGGTTAGCGCTAATCGGCCTTCGAAGAACTGGGCCCAGGCGTCATACTTGTAATCCGACAGTGTAATTCAATGTCATAGAACAGTTTGACACATCATGCCTGTGTACGTGGAAAGTACACGTCATGTGCGCGCGATGTTGTCGCGCACGTCGCCGAGTTAACTTTTGTTTTTTGTTCCATGAAAACATATAACCCATATCTTATTTCTTCCTCGAATTTTGTCATAGTTTTGATCAATTGGCAGCAGGACTTCGTGTCGTCCAATTCTGCCTGTGATCACGCTCATGATTAACAATGCATGCTCTCAGATGGGACTAACATGGCTCTTATCAACCTAATCCCATTGGATTTATTCCACAGAAATCAAGACACCAAACTGAATTTTACCATCAAGGTTAGTACACACAAATACAACAAAAAAACCGATATTTAGTCAACGTTACTGAAACTAAGCTCGCTCCGGCAATCGATTAGAAACAATATGTTCATTTTTATCTTATCAGCTGAGAGCATATTTAAATGTAAAAAAAAAATGTCGCATACATTCACTCTGCAACGATTCCTGTCTAATCATTTTGAGAACTCGATACTGGAAAACAAGCTAAATATCGTTCATTGTTTAGTGATCATTTCAGTCAGTATTTTGTAATTAAGAAGCATTGTCTTGAGAAATTGACAAAACCCTACGACTGTAATTCAAGATCAAACTGATCTTCTGTATTTTCTATGAAGACGATAGTAAATTGACTGTCTCACTATAAATTATCATTAATAGTTCGGAAAAAGTGCTTCTCTCAAATGCGGAAAGTTTGGGAAAGATGGATGATAGTGCGGTAATCCCGCAGATAAAATATTTAAAAAAATTGTTCAAGTGTAGGGTAGGAGGCACATCAGCAATGTGAAACGGAGTTGGACGTCAGGCAATCATCGATAGCCTGTTTTGGGGCCAGACAGTTTTAAATGTAGATATCCTTCATTCATAAAACACTTTCGATCAAGGCATCTTGCGAAGGTTTTCGACGGATACACTAAAACGACCGTCCAGTAATCAGGAAGAAATTACAAGCACTGATGAAATATAGAAACAATCAAAACAACTGGTTATGGTGTAGGTGGGAGGAAAACAAAACTCTCTTGGAAGCTAGTGTTTATCTTGTTGCATGCAATTGCTTGCTTGACCGCTAATAACACGTGCACATATACCTAAATAGTAATATGCTTAAGTTATTTCGCAATTAAAACGCGTTAGCGTGGTGCCTAGCCACTGGTTCTATCCAAATGTTAGGACTTCCATGCCGAACGAATTGCTCAATCTTAACCGGCGAAAGGGCTAACATAGAAACTGTCTGTACCCAGTTTAGACCTCTCAGTTATCAATGTCTAGATTCATGCTTCAATATTTTAAAATGGAGATTAACACTTACGATAGTGTACGAGGGGCTGAAAGTCAAGGTTTGGAGGAATTTCGGCGGTAGTCTATAAACCAAAACTTATTTCTCCATTATGTTTTGAAGGCCACCAGAAATATAGGAAATTCTTTACCCCAGGTTTTTCAAACTGTAAGCCAGGTCTTCATGCTTTTCTTAACTTTGCATTTTCTGCGTTTTCCTCAATTCCTGCAGTTGTTGCCTCATAATCAGAAGGACAGTTAATAATAATAATAATAATAATAGTTAATCTTTATTGAGGATGCCAACATCACAGAAAGAGTGGTTTACAGAAGGGTCCTCTAAAGGTAACTACAAATCAATATAATTACGTAAAAATGTAAATATAAATACAATCGAAAAATAAAACAGAAAAACATACATTATATTAAAAAATTAACACTAATTTAATTAAGCTAGTGCTGCATTAAAAAATTAAAATAAAGCTTTCTTGATACCACGCTTAAATTGACTTAAGGTGGGCACATCTCTTAGGGAAAGGGGTAAGGCATTCCAAGCGTCCGCTGCAAAATTTGATGTTATCCAGTGCCCCCATCTTCTATGTGCGGATGATTTACGAATATTTCGCTTGGATCGTGTATTATAGTTATGATAATTGCTGTTAAAAGAGCAGTGAAAGGTGTGCATGAAAAGGTTATTAACTACCTTAAACATAAAAAGTTTTAACTTAACTAAACTTAACCAGACTTAATCATTGGATGGCGTTCAAAATGTGGATGAGTCGTATTTTCTACTGTAGTTCCGATGCATTTATTTAGTTGTAAGCTCTGGGGAAAACCGATTTTTTTCCGCTCGCTCACAGAAATTGTTTTTCTCTCTCACTAATGAATTCATTGACTGTATTTGTGGGCGCAAGGTTACGAGCTCGGAGCTAGGTTGCAAGCTCATAAATTGACTCCGTTCTGCCAATCAGAATGCTACAAATTCAATAGGCGTGTTCCAGTTTTTATTTAAAGCACATGTATTCTCTAGGTTCCCATTGGATACTTGAGATAATTTTTCTTTATGTTTCCTGCTCGCTTAAACGAAATGAACCGCTCATGTAACTTTCCAAAGCTGGGCTCTGTTAGCTGAAAATACAAAATGAAACCAATGGTCTGGGAGATTGTGGCCATTCTTTCAGCCATTTATTCCATAGCAACTAATTATAAATCAACATACATGAATCTAGAAATCCTGATTCATTTCCAGCAAATTTGAGGGCAAACCTATGACGCAGCCCAAACCTAAAGAGGAATCCAATCTATACCACATTTAGTGGGTAGGATACAGGCAGGGATAACCTTTGCAGTCTGGTAACTAAAGAAAAAAGGCCCGTAACCAGGCCTGTAATTGTACTTAAACGCCCCTCATACAAGTCCCGTATGTTATATGATCCTCAGCCGGCAAGGCAAGCCGCATAAAATCATTTATTCCGGAGGGGAATAAATTTCCTTTATTCCTATTGGCCTTTGTGAAGACGAAAGTCGAAAAACGCCGTTCTAATTTAAAACGGAATTTACACCACAACTAATCCCTGAGGAAAAAGAAAACACTGAGAAAGGAATACACGTGGTTTGACCCAACAAATCACAAGAAACGATGGAAAACAATATGTCTGTCCTCTGTCATTCATCAAAGTTATATTACAAATTTCTCACCCAGGTGAGTGCAATCAAGCAAGATTCAACAAGTACAAGAAACTTTATTGGCAAATGAAAAGCAGAGATAAAGTTTCGAAAAACAAATAATGGTGAAATATATTAATATTTGTCGAAATACCGATCAAGCGAGAAATAACGGTGAAATAAAAAACAATTATCGTATTTCTCTATCTTTTTCTACAGGGGATGCTCGTGGAAAACACAGATTAGTTTTTGTCCCTCATTTGTCATGGACAAATCTTAACATTTCCCGCTATGTGACTATTAAGCTCAAATTTATCACCCTTCTTGTTTTTTTCGAAATAAATTTGCTTCTTTGCTTTTTAACTTTTTTGAAAGAAATACTATTTTTTTTTTATTCAGCTGATAATTGTATTGGTCATGAGCGCAACACTCGTTGAGTTTCTTACTTACTTCATGTCCAAATCATTTTTAATCTAATACCATTCTCTTGAAACGGACAACAAGTCAGGTGATGTCTATTTAAAGTCCAAGCCCTGTTACTGAAGATGGAGCCCTCCATCTACTGGTAATGACACCCCTGTGATGAACGAGGCTTTGGGTGAACACAAAAAAGCAGTCACGTGACCGAACTCGCGACCTTCCCCGAACCGCTTCATGGGAGATCCTTGAATCATGCCCTGAACAGCCTCGCTTTCAATTCCACCCTTGCTTGCAGTCATGTGATGCCAGGCGTCAGATAAGATGTAGCCAGGAATGATGGCATTCACAGTGATTCCGCGGGGGGCCAGGGCTTGGGCGTAATACCGCACCTGTATTGGCCAGATCATGTAACGCAAGTACAGTTTTAGAATATTTTAAGCTATTTTACTGTTTGTATAGCTTGGAAAAGTTAAATTCAGTATATTTTTTGAACTCGTCGTTTATAATGTGTTTAAATATTCTCTATCGCTAGCCATTGTCATTCCAGTTGGGTTTCTCAAAGTCTTTTTCGAGGTCAACCAACCTTCCAAATAAATATTTCGTAAAACGGTCATCTTTAACGCGTCGCAAAAAATGTACCATGAGGTAGCTCCTATCACATTGCTATTCTACTTTATTCTCTAAACTGACACTAGGAGGGATTCCGTTGCGGTTTGATAATCGAAACCTAATTTTCTCATTTGTTTACTGCTGGGACAAAAACGGTAATGTAAGATTGACACACTTATTTATCATAATTTGTCACGCAAGCCTTATGACTCGAATCCTCACGGGAGTATCAAACTCTTTGTCTCTCGCCTCGTAACAAACATTGAACACTGGCCTCTATTTATTCTTTAAACTAAGAGTTATTTGAACAGCATTTTTTAAGCAAACGTAGATGAAAGGCTTGCTATTGTATGACCAATAATATTGCCCGAGGGTTTAAGTGTTAAAAGGAGTTGTTAGACCTCGTTTGTAACGGAAGTTAAGTGGAAAAGGACACGCTTTCTCCAGAAAAAATGGAATTTATTACCTGCAACTTTATGATTAAGCAGTTCATAATGTATTTGGTAAAAGAGGAAATAGTTTGTTGTAATTTGGCGAACCGAAGAAACTTCAAGGGTCCAATTTATGCAAATATGAGTAATTAGAAAGGCATAAGTTATCAAAGTCATCTGTGGCAACTGAAGAATGCAGACCCATATTATCTTATTGAACCAAGCAGACAAAAAATTGAAAATTTTTGAGCGAATCCCTTAAATTATTCAGCATCCGTGAGAAAGGTGTAGCTTCAAAACCTCACAACAAAGACAGTGCATCTTGTAGTTGTACACCCTATCAACTTACCAGTAATTCTAAGCCTCCTTTGGCTTGAGTTGTTATGGCGTAGCCTGGTTTTACTGTCTGCATGCAGTTGGAGCCATAGGTAGATACCGCCAAGATGTAACCTTTACCATCTTCCATGATTTTTATCGCTCTTTCGACCATTCGTATGAAGCATTTTGGATAAATCTCTTGGAAATAGTCGTAAGTGGCGAAATCGTCAAATTTGCCAGAAGCGATAGTTTCTTTGTAACTCGCGGCCGCTTTCTTGGCTGCTTCGGTTTCCGCTACTGATGACACACCAATGGCAGCTCCGGCGTTGTGTACCAATGCATTAAGCTTGTTTCCGAAATTCTTCTCCACGCAATCAAAGATTGCATCAACAGCTTCAGGTTTAACAAGGTCTCCTTTCACGACAAAAACTTGGACTCCATGTTTATCTTCCAGGGTCTTCTTGGCCTGTTCGGCGCGTTCTGTGTTGGCGTTGTACGTAAGAATCAAATGGCTGTAGCCATTGCTTGCCAGTTCCTTAGCAGCATCAAAGCCCAGACCTCGGGTTCCTCCGGTGATTATACCGAACATGCTGAACTTGAAGACGCGTCAGCAGAGAATGTAGTACCTGTAGAAGCTTCCAAGTGTATCAGACCAGCTGGTCTCAGTGGGAGGGGCGATAAACAAATGCAACTGGTCAGGCAGCAATTACTTCTGTCAAGAGAATAATAACTGTTGATATTCTCTTGCCTCCGTCATATCATGTACAGCCTCTCATAAGTTGGATGTTCCATTTAATTTCCGCCACCTTTTCCTCTGTATGGCACGCCTAATCGAAGAGCTTTTAAGTAACCACAGGTGTGAGACTCTGAATCTGACCTAAAATTTAGACAGTTTGCCAATTCTCAATCGCGACGCGTCTCGATGATCTGTTTGCTGCCCTTTCTTACTCTTTATTTTACAATGACAACTCAACTTGGGGTTGTTCTGTATGGTAGCAATTTCAATGTACTTCGGAACACCGAGTGTAAAGTTTCGTATCCCACTCATCTATGAAGGATTACTACCCACGGCGGAGACTTTCAAAGAGAAGAACTCATTATTAACTCTTAACTTCTTGCAGTCAGGCTTGAACTAGATACGTCCGTCTTCGACCTAGACCTGGACTGCAAAACAACAACATGATACCCAAGAAAGTCCGGCAACGTGCGACCAATGCTACGGTCGCTTACTTCACTATTCGCTCAATAAGAGCAAGAGGAAATTTTATCTCGTTTCTTAGACCATAACCCATCATTGCCTCGATGTATTAACGATCTCTGAATCTTGACCCATCCATCAGCGATTGCGAACTGCAAGTTCCTGAATATACATTGTTTCGGCAAGATCGTGGGCCATACGGCGGCGGTGTATGTGTCTACATCAAGGATGTTTTAGAGGCCTCTATTGACAAAAATTTCTAACATCTCATCTACAAGACTGAATTAAGATCGTGATAACTTTCTTATGGATCTTTCTCATGAAAGAACTCAGGAGAAATCTCAGAATCGATCATTTTACTTAACCGAGACGGCCTTACTTCGCTTTACAAACGACATTTCAGAACACGGATGAGGGTAACTTTCATGGATTGTGTCGTTAAGTATATCAAAAGCATTTGATAGCATCCAGTACGAGCGCCTACTTGTTAAACTCAGACTAAGTTCGAGACTTTCTTGTCTCAGTTCAGGCAAACGCCATAATAGAGGATGCCATTTCTGATCCGTGGCCTTTGAATTTCGGGCCTTAAGGCTCTATACTAGGCCCTGCACTGTTTACAATGTGTATCAATAATCTACTGTCGGTTCTCAAGCTGGTAAATCTTCAAGTTATGCGGACGCACAAGTTTTCTTATCCCTCCTCTTATAAGGTTACCGATGCAAGCGTTGCTAACCTTCAGCTTTACTTGTAAATCAAAACCTTTCAGAAATATCCAGTTGGCGCTAGCATAATTTGTTATTGGTTAATCCAGAAACGATCAAACTCTTGTTTAACCGTGTTCCACAACTCTTGCGAAATTTTCTTCGTCTATTAATTTCTGTTACTGGAAATCTATGGAAAGGAGATTGAACCAGAACCTGTACATGTCGCTAAGGACCTGGGCGTTCATATTGACAAAACCTTAAGCCTTAGCGAACATACATATCAAAGCTTGTTTCGAGGTTTGTCCATAAACCTTTTCAAATTAACATAATTAAGCAATTGTTTGTGCGAAACAGAACTATACTTCAAATAAACATTACCTTTGCATCTATTCAACCGTTTTATTGTTGACTATTTTGGGTAAAACGTCCAAGTCCAATAAAAATAAGCACAACTTGAACAGAACTTCGTGGGAAAAATCGTCCTCGGTGTGAAATTCGATCACATCTCATGGGATCTTTAATCACTTCAGTAGCTTTCCATCAAAAACTTTTAAACAATATCTCTTTTGTTCATAATTATTTTCACAATCGGGTGCCCAATGATTCGAATGCTATTTTTTCTTAGGTTTACAGACTCACAATAGACGACTCAGAACTATTGTAATCAACACACGACCTAAATTCTGCCACACTGTCGGTCGGTGAAATTCGCGCCAGAAAAAGTCGTGCCGGAAAATGTTGCGCTCGAAAACGACGTGAAAAAAAGTTGAAGGTGCTCTAAAGAGAAACTGAGGTGGTGAAAATGAAGTTGACGAGAACCATTACGTATGATTGCTTTGAATACTTTCCAGGTCCCCTGTTCTTTAACTAGACGTCGTAACAGCAAAGAGTCTGGGACGAGGCTCCTAAGAACATTGTTCGAAGTGTAGCTGACATGTCACGCAGAATAGCACTGCTATCAGCAGCCCTCAGATCATTCCGGTCGATTTCATTCGTCAAGACGGGGAACACACTTGGCAATACGATTGAGACGGTGAGGCCACCTCCTGAAGACATGGCTGATAACGAAACGCTGACGGCAACTTTTGCTATGAGCTGATTTTGGTTCCCCGAGGCTCAGTTTGGATGCGCTAATGGCGTCGTCCGAACTAAGGTCGGATACACTGGAGGATCCAAGTTATTTCCGACCTACACAAGCCTGTGAGTATTTAAGTTACCAGTCAAAGTTGAACCTGTCGAAAATATCATCCTCCTGTTTAATTTATTTTATGACTTTAAGCGAAATCGGACAGTGTTAAGAGAAAATCACGCATTTCAATTATTGCATTGCATAACAACATTACTCGATCGTCTAAGTTATGTGATGTTTTACGATGTATACATGGTTTAAACTTCAGGGGTAGGCTCATATTTGTAGAGAATTGCGTAAGGCAAAAATATTAGCTGTTCTTTTATTTCTCAGTGTCACAATTTCTTTCAAAACCATTAGCTATCGGAAGCTTTTACCTTGCTGAGTCATGGAACGTAAATAGTACGTTACCGCAAGTTGAAATTGTTTATGTCGTCATGAGAGATGATATTTCTTTAGTCATAGTCACATCCACACCTTAAGCGGTTCACAGCACCTGTTTAATGAGAATTTGTGGACATAAAATATTCGCTGTCGATAAGCTTCTTAGAGTTTTCATTCAGACTCACTCTGTCAAAGACTACAGGGCTTCATGCTCGACTTCTCTCTGGTTCACCATTTAATTTGGTGATCTAGAATTATTGTCACGAAAAAAATGATACAGGAAAATTTATTACTAGCAGGAATAAATCTCGGGAGGATAAAAAAATTATAAATAACAAATTCCAGCCAATTTTGTTGTGTAGACTCCAATCATAGTTTGCAAAAAATGAGGTAAATGTAGATATAAACAGCATTGAGATTGTAATATATTGGTGTAGTGTTCATCAAGAGGATGGGTTTCAACATTGAAAAATTTTTGAGTTTAGACTTTCGTCAACTTGCGTGATTAATAACTTGTTACTATCCAAGTGTAAGGGCTGAACTGGGGAATATTGGCCCAAGGTTGTGGCAGTGTGTGCCAAGTGAAAGGAAGTATGTACAAAAATGACAGGGGGCCAATATTCTTCGGTGTGGCTAAAGGAAGCAAGGTTAGTAAGTAGATATTATACATTACTTGGACTAACTTTGTTGTTGTTGTTTTTTAATTGCTGGCATGCGAGATGAACTTTACAAGGCCTATGAACATTTCTGTGGAAATGGTTTCTGTGGCAAAATCCAGACCAAGTAAGAGCTAGACTACCCTGCCTTGTAATAATTTCCTTTATTTACTTTGACTCGTTCTATGTCAGTGGGGACCATACAGAAACCTTGGAGTTGGAGTATGACCCAAACTGTACAACTTACAAGGATCTGTTGAAAATATTTTGGAAAAATCACAACCCTACAGCAGTCCATAAAGCTCAGTACATGTCAGCCATTTTTTATCACAACGAGGATCAGAAACAACTTGCAGAGGAGACTCGTGAGGAACATCAGAAGATAGTCAAAAGAAAGATAGTAACGAAGATCCTTCCAGCAAACACGTTCTACGTAGCTGAACAGTAGGTGTTTTAATTTCAATTTTTTTTTTCCACAACATATCACTTTGATCTTTACAGATACATGTATAAACCAAATAGTTAACAGTGCTCCAAGCACTGGTTTTTCAAGTTGCTGTTTTGCCACCAAAAATCAGAAATGGTCCCCAGAAATTGAACTTTTTTGAAAATGTTGTTTTGGACACTGTTTAAATTCTGTTTAAGTTACTAAACTGCTGATCATACCACTCTCTTTGAAATAAACAATTAAGCTGTGATGTGGCAGGCTTTTATCTCAGACTTATGTGCAGTACTTGCACCAATAAGGAGATAGGGAAAACAAACCAACACAAATTACCTTTTGGGCAAATTTTTCCCGCCAAGGAGTACTTTAAATGAGTTTTAATAAACTGTTGAAAAGCTGACAAAATATTTGGGGGCGGGGGTAATTTGCATTATGCTAGACTGGTGTCCTATCCAGGGAAGTATCAGAACTCTCAGTTGCCTTTCTTTGGAGAAGCTTCTGCACTATTGGTGGCTCTTGATTCATGTTAGAAGACCTTATTTATTTCCTAATGATTTTTGTAAGATTTCAAATTATCTAGATCCCAAATATTTTAAACTTTCCACTTCCCACAGACTTTGGTTGATAACTATCACCATGATAAATGTTACTTGCCAGTGGACATCTTAAGTCATTGTCATTGACCACAATATTCAATTTATTTATTTCCATTGACAGTTTGAATTATTAGTGGTCTGTCATTTGCAATAAGCTGATATGAAGGCAGTCAGCTATTTTTAAGATTTGTTCCAAAGAACACAAAGAGTGGCTGATATTTTTAACTTAAAATGAAATCTTTGATATTCCAATTCAGATACCATCAAAAGTACATGCTGCGACAGCACCCCTTGCTGCTGAACAGTCTGGGCTTAAATGACGAAGAGCTGAAGAAGTCTCGGGTTGCAGCTCGTTTAAATGGTTATGTTGGAGGTTATGGTTCCATAAAGAGCTTTGAAGCTGAAGTGGATGGGCTAAAATTAAGCAATCAGCAAATAGAAATGGTGAAAGAGATCATAGAGAGAAGAAGATTCTAAATCCAAGGTTTAAGTTCAGAAAGACTCTATACTACAAAGGAGTTGCAGTTCTCTGTCAGGATTTGTTCTTCCTGAACATTGTAGCCTAGACTGATTTTTCAAGTTGGGCATTTGTAAACTATGTTAATTTTTGTTATTTTTTTTACCATTTTTGCTCCTTCTTATTTTATTCTTACTTTGTTGGTATTTCCCTATCCCAGCAAATTATTATTTCAATTTTTCATGACACTTTATTATGATTCTCTTTGACATTCTCTTTGACACTCCAAGGAATATATTGTGTCATAGAGCATTGTTTGTTGGCAGACCCTTTGCTTCCTTAGTGCTCATTGTTATAACCTACTGCTTATGAAGTTCTGTAGTTTAAACTGAAAAATGTTCGACAGGACAGATGATGTGAGATTACTGTGGGTAGCTTTGAGTCTAGTAAGGGCTAAATGTAGGTGTAAAAAATTAAAGCTTGTGCACCTGTAAGTAAATTTTAGAATCCGAATAATGAGTGTTTTGTTGTATTTTTTATTTTAATCACTAGTGTACATGGATGTCTCTGTGAGAGACATCATCTCCCAATAATTTAACTAAATTTGTGAGTTTGAGCCCTGGCTGAGCCACTGTGTAGTGTTATTATTGAATACAATTTCTCTCACATGGCTCTTTCCATGTGAAAGTTTGATTACCAGTGAAGTCATAGATAGACCTTGGACTAGCATCCCTTGGAGGGCACTAGCTATTAAAGGGTGGGCCAAATCACTGAACTGTTGTGTGGCATGAATTATTGTACCACTTCCTTTCTGAAATTCCTCTTATTCTCTGATTTGTCTACAGAAACAATTTTAACCCTTATGATAAGAGAGGTTAGATAATGTCTGGCACTTTGGGGTTTGAATAAATCATTGAAACTTCTTTCCTCATTTAGCTTCACCCTTATTCTAACCTGTCTGTTCTTTTTTTAATGATTTGGGCCACTTCAGCCAAGTGAGGGTAGGTACAAGTGATGTCAATGCCAAGGAATGAAGATCCATCAGAAAGGAAAGTGGTGAGGGGATTGAATTTCAAAGTTTAGACCCATTTAAGGGCACAGCTGTAGTTTTGATGATATTTCCACCCTCGAAATTTTTTTAGAGAAAGTGTCAGGGACAAAATTTAATTCATCTTTGCTGCTTATGATTATTTTCACCCATCTTCAATTGTTTGACAACTTTCGTGTCAGTTTGACATTATCAACTACATCTGTGAATGAAGGCAGGAGTTGCACACATTGTCCTGGCTAGGGTTCATTTCTGACAGACTCTCTATAAGTTGAAGTAAGTGATCCAAATGGAGCTCAGTTGCAGTGGGAAGGCGTGAAGTAGGAAATCACAACACAAAATGTTCTGTAAACCATTAGCTAGTATGACAGTTGATGTAAACAACACAGGGTATCACTGCAACAAAACCTAAATTGTATTGAAGGACACATAAGCTTCCCCTATGGTAGCAGCCACTGCTGATACCTGATTGACTTTACACAACACCAACAGCACAGACATCACTAAGAAATACATGTTCTACATGTCACTTTATTATAATCAGTAAACCAATCTTTGTTGACTATAATTTTAAAAGTTATGACAAACAGAATAATTACATAATTACATTCTGTGTCATACAATCTCATGACAAGTGTACATGAACACCTGTACAGTATATTAAGCTAAGAACTACCAATATAACACCATGAAACCTAATTATATGCTTATGAAATCTGGTCTTAGTGTTGCACTGACTGGTTTGCTAAGCTCTTGACACAGAGCTGCACCTCAATCATGGTAATTTCAAATTGCTTTCTTTTTTACATGCTATACTTCTACTTTGATATGAATTGTTCTATTCTCACTTTTTAGTGCTTGATGAAGCATGTTTTTACCTTGCTCTGTAAATTTGTTTGATGTAAGGTCTAATTTAATGAGTTTACAGTTTGGGTCTTCAAGTGCAGAGCACAGATGTGGTATGAACTGATCCATTAACTCATTTCCCTCTAGTGACAACTTAGTGAGTTTACAATTTACATCTTTAAGAGCAACCAAAAGGTGTAGAAAACCTTCATCTGTTACCTCTGGAAACTCAATTTTCAACTTGATGAGTTTACAATTTACATCTTTAAGAGCAACCAAAAGGTGTAAAAAACCTTCATCTGTTACCTCTGGAAACTGAATTTTCAACTTGGTGAGTTTACAATTTTTATGTTTAATTGCAGTAAAAAAAATAGGTACCCAATGGGTACTTGTGTCTGCTGCAGTGGAATGGAATCCGCTGTAGGTGCCAATTTTTTTGAATACTGTTAAACTGGCTAGAAACATCTCCCGAAAGGCAGTGCCATGGAATGCTCAAGGCATCACAAAGATGGGGAACTGAAGTGGTGAATGTCCAATGCTCCAGTTGGAGATAAGGGATCATCAATATCAATCATCAATATCATGATTGTGATTACATCTTCATCACTGTTTAAATAACTTTTATTGTGTTATGGTACTGCAAAGAATCTAACATTAAAGTGAACGTTTCTTTTATTTTGTAGCAGAATATTTAAATCAAAGAATTGAAATACAACAGCCAATAGTTTTTAACAAAATTGAATAGTATCAGAAGTCTTTGTAACACAAGACAACTGTAATGCAAACGCAGTAGCAGTTTTGCAAAGCAAGAAAAAGTCTCTGGTTGTAATAATTCCTAGGAAATCATTATGTTTTTCATTTAATGGTAATATGCAATCAATTTGGAACAAAACACAGGTAAAACAAAGTTAGTATATTTACATTTTGTGTTCAAGTAACCAATAGGTGAATATACTTTTAAAAGTATTTTGAAGTGTTTGTCTTTTAATTGAAATGAAATGTATCAGAAATGTAACGCAACAGAAATATTATCCCAAAAAAAGCAGCACGTGTACTTGTAAATAATGTTTATCAGTCAGAGAAACAATCATTTCACTTAAAACCAGTGTCTACAAAATGTTTGTTGCAAACTGTAACAAAACAGGTATTATTAACGTTTGGTATTCAGTAGTAATTTCCACTGATGTGTGACAGGAAATTGTTCATTTTATTCAGATTTGCACTGACTCCACTATTTTTGTTTGTTGTTGAATGTTATGCTGGTTATAGTTGGTAACTCTAGAAGAAAGGTAGTTATGGTTTCTTCAGTGATCGGAAGAGTGCTCTTTCCTTGTGACGCTAGCATATCATGCAGGATGTCGTTGAACAGGGTCACTGTGATCTTCGATTCTTTAATTTGTACCAGTAGTTGTCCATAACATTGTTGAATGGTGGACTTCATATTCTGCTTGAGCCCACAAGTTGAACAGGTTAGTATGGGAGACGTCTCTATTACCAGCTTTTTGTTACAGTTGCAGCAGGCTTGATATGCCGTGACACTTCGCACTCCAAGTATTTCTGCTGCTGCTGTTGTATTGGTAAAGTTCTGAGGTAGCTCAGCAGGATTAATGAGATCCACAGAATTGTTCCCAAAGTGTCACCTTAATGGCTCCATGTGGGTCCACAAGATAGGCAAACAACTTTTTTTTTTCACCATACTCTGTCTTCACTTTTTTTGTTGATGACATCTGAATAAGTTTGGCTTTGATGGTGATACTTTGATTTGTGTTTGCAGCTGAAATTGATTGGATATTGTTGGCACTTGGCAACTCAATTCTTGAAAAAGGTATTTCTTTTGTAGGCTCTAACAGTACATTGTTATTCATCAGTACTGTGGTTGCATCTCCTGCTCTTTCAATTCTAAAATTTCGAAGTTTTATTGGAGATTTCTTTTTGCTCATTTGATCAAAGTGTTCCTGTTTACTTCCGGAGACGCAGACTCCTCTTACTAAGCCATCGGTGGTTTGTATGGACATGTCAAAGTAAGATGTCTTGCTACTTTTTTTAGTTGGAGACACATTGTGTAAGAAACCAACAATCTCTTCTTTTTGTTCTTCCATTGACTGCAAGTGAAAAAGAACCTTTTGAGTTTGTTTCATAGCAATATAATGTATTTCAAAATTTCTAATAACATAGGGAGCACTGCATCAAAAGACGACGACGACTACGACTACTACTACAAATTTAACTATAACAACAAAATGCCAAAAAAAAAAACTTACCTAGGTGAATTATAATTTTTTATTTGTTTACTTATTCATTATAAATCAATCAACAACAGCAGCCTCTACAGACAGGAAGGAATAACACTAAATGAAGGTTGGGGAGTGCAGTATACTGCAAACTGTTTATTAGATGATACTAATACTGAAAATCAAAGTGAACAAGAAATAGAAAAGAGCAGTGGTTCCAATAAGCAAGATGGAAATGACAGTAATGATAATGATGATCAGTGGACTGAAGATGAAGCAGAAACACCTGCTGGTGTTACTGACACCATGTTGACCAACACACATTATTTTGAAGACAGTCTGCCTCAACGTATTTTAAATGTTGCACCAGGAGAGGGAAACAAACCCTTAAGTATATTCAGAGATCAATATTCTGAAGAGTTAGCATATCCTGGTATATTCCTTGGTCAAAGTCGACCAGAAAATAAAGATAGACTAGCTAATGTTCATTATAGCGACATTTGTAAATCTGAACTAAGACGATCAGATAGGAGAGCTGCTATGTGTGTTGAAAATATATTCTTCAAAACAAAAAAGCTTCAAATGAAAATTCTCTTAGGAAAATCACAAGTTGCACTTAGGAAGTGCAAAGGAAATAGCAAATCTTCAAATGCTGGACAGTTGAAATGTGAAGGAGCAATTGAGCGCTTGATTCATCTTGATGAAGGATTCCAATTTTTGAAAGCATTGATACCTTACAACTGTATGCAAAGATCTGTTCATAGCGATGCTTAGATAATAATTATCATGAAGAATACTAGTTCTAGGTTTCTCTCCTCTGTATAAAATCGCCACAGCTTTCGCACATGTTTGTCTAGTGATAGATGTTTTCATGTGTGTAGTGAAATACATGTATCTTCGGCAAAATCCATTTCGTAAACAGGGCATATTATATCCCCCATTGGGCTTTGTAATCCCCAAGTGAGACTTAATAATTCCCTTAACGGGCTTTTCATTCCCCAAATGGAGCTCAATTGTTCCCCGAAGGGACTTTGCATTCCCCAAATGGGGCTCATAAAGCTTATTTTGCGTCCTGAGCACTTGCAAAATGGCGGGGCGGTGATCGTGTTGGCGCCGAGAAAGCTTCAGTCGATTTACAAATTCAAAGCATCTTTCAAAACCTTTCACTCGGCCGGAATGACACCCAGTGCGAATGCTGTGGCAAAATGAGAAAACACCTTTTAAGAAATCCATTACAAATATGAAAAGCGAAAAGATCACTCACCTTGCAAGCAATAATACACCCTGGCTTGACGAACGAAATCAGGACGATACGACGCAACCCAAACGTTTTTCGAAAGCACATAGTTTGACGGATTTGACTTTGTCCTTTTCTCAGATTTGATTGGTTCCGAGTCTTCCCGGAAATCGGTAGTTTGCCACGACCTCTTTCCTTTGTCCTTTCCTCGTATCCGATTGGATAGATTATTCCCCTGAGGAACGAAGTTTGCACCCGAAAGTATTACAGGCCGAAAGTATTACAGGCCGAAAGTATTACCCCTCCGTGCATACTTCATGTATCGTATCACCAAATGGAATCCGCAGTGAAACGTCAAGAGTAAATCCGAGATCTTGTCGTATATGAAGTAGCTGGTCGCGCGTTTTACAGCTTATCTAAGTGTCTGCATGCATTATAAATGCAGCAGACACAAAAAGCTGACTGCCAGGATACTAGAAACAATAACAACCAAAATACAAGAATACCGCATCTGTCGGAGATTGAGGGTGAATATTCATCGGCATTCTCAGTTGATTGATTCTGCTCAAAATCCTCTTCAGAGTCTTGAGCATTTGGAAAACCAGACCAGTCTTCGTTCACAGAATCTTCCCTGACATTTCTACCACTTTCATATGCTTCGATCTCTTCATCGTCGTCCTCAAAGTAAGACAGATCTTCTTCGCTAAAACGTTTCCTTAATCGGTCCTTGAGTCTTCTTCTAAGATCTGGAGACAAAGGGCTATCGATGAGTTCCGCCTCAGTTCCATCGATGCCCTCATCTACCTCATGGCAGTTGATCGGCGACTCTGTCTCAAGGCCATCGCCATCGCCATTGCATAAGTTGCCGTTTGACAAAAGCTGTGGAGCATCATCAGCGTCTCGGTGGATTTCATCGCCAGAACTGTCCGGGCAAACGTGTGTCCTCGCTCCAGAATAGGAGTAACTATTTCCACATCTAGAACAATAAATTCGACGCCTATTCCGCCGATATAGTTCGCGAGGAAAGCTTCTTTTTGGCATTGTAAGATGCTCCAATCAGCGAAATAACGAAAAAGGAACTTCGATCCCAAAATACAGGATGAAATCTTGTCAAATACTTAATAAATTTTGTTAATTGTTTAAATTCACCACTAAGAACAATACTTTGATGAAGGATTTTAATTTTTGCGTCCCTCTTGGCGCCATACATAAGACCGCTGACCATCATGCACGAAATTTTTGACCAATCATATCGATTGTTATGACTGCACACTTCATCGGACCAATCATATTCCTTGTTTTAGTTTGTTCGTGAAGGGAAAACTCACAACACCATTCCACGTACGATTTGCAAGTCGAGTGAACGCTGTCTATTTACCTAACTCTTTATCGCGAAATGGCATCTGGCAGAGCCTCAAATGTATCCGAATTTCGCCAAGTCTTGAGCAGACTCAAAGATTTACATGAGAAGCTGGAAAGGTCCGATCAATCTAGTCTTGCAGCTAAATTGTCGGACATAAATGACTCCTTAAGCATTATCGAAGGTAACCAGACTGACTTCTCCGATACAGTCCTGCAAACTTTGGAGAGGATCCATTCTACGATGGTAAATGGCTTCAAAACTATGGAAGACAGGATATCCACGCTAGAAGCCAAACTAACCAGCCATGAGACTGGAAGCTATGATGCAGTGACGCCGCCGAATTCTTCAAGAAAAAGAAAAATCGCACGGCACCCTGATCTTTCGGTAAGATACGTGAATATTTTCCTCTTTGCTATATCTTTGCGTTGAGAATGTTAACCATAAAAATTTATAAGATGTATCAAAGGATTACCCGGTAAGAACATGGAAAGGGAAGTCAAAAGCCGTTTTCAAATTTCGTGCGCATTTTGTGATTTATATCACACCTTTTGATTGATCAAAGCCGATCCCCGCCATTTTTGACTTGCTGTCGGTTGCGAATTTCTTTTATCATCCGTCCTCTTTCGGTGACGCTAACGTCTCCTTAGTTCAAAGATGTGTTTATGCATGTGAGCGATTGATTTGTTTGCTCTCTCTTAGAAAGAGAGAAAGAATGACAAACTTAAATTATCTGATGTTTAAAACACTCAGTTAAATTCCTCTTGCATTTATTGATGATCATTCACAGCATTACGTCCGCTCCAATATGGAACAGTTAGGACTGTCGTGGAACACGGAAAGGAAGTAAGTTCATAGCCAAAGGGGAGTAAAGATACTTGTAACATAGTTTGCGATTGAATAGTTTACAACGGAAGTCCATGTGGAAAGAAAGTGGGAGGTGCAAGTGGTTTGAAGAGCTACGCATTAATAAAATCTCGACCACAAAGGAAAAAAGTAGAATCAAAGTGGTGAGAGCAGAAGTAAAAATCATCGTTTTAGTCCCACGTTTTCTTGATCACTCATGTTAGTCCACGCATACGCACCTTTGGCAACTTGTGAGGACTGTGTTTACACACAGCGCTTGCGGGGACCCCCCCCTTCTGCTGGCAGTATCAAAATAAAAACTGCGATGTTTGATAGCTTGTTTACCTTACTCTTTATACACTTGATTAGAATTGAGGAAATTTCAATTTTTCTTGTGGGGACTTCCTTATGGGGACCTGTCCATTACTCAACTTTGCCTACTTGTGGGTAATACTTTTAATATAAGACTTGTGAGGACATACTTACCTAACTTGTGGGGTCTCTGTTTCCACACCCCTCTTATGAGGACCACCTCTCCTTTTGCTGGAGAAGGCGAAGAAGTTTCGCTGAAGGCCTGGTACTTTCCTACAGCGGAAGAAAACCCTCGTGATTAAATACTAATAATGAAGGCCTGTTAGCGTAATCGCCTTTGCAGTCGTTGTTTGGTCTTGCAATGGAAGAGAGATTGCACTGCGTGGCGAGACTAAACAACGGCTGCGACGGAGACTACCGCAAGTGTGACACCAATGCAGTTTAGTGTTGCTTAAAACTATTCAGACACCAGTGACAATAGACCAGAAAAACACCTGTGTCTAAATTCATTTCAGATAAATTGGATGGGTCTTTTTTGCTCTCCATTGAAAGAAATTTTTGTCGGAATCTTTTGAAGTTAATACTTTTTCTCTTATTACAAAAATGAAAACGTCAGTCACTTAGTGTCCAAGCCTGAACTTATCCATCCAAAGAAATAACTTTTGCATGCATAGCATGCCTACAATAAAGGATGACTGCGACTTAAGGAAGCCCAACTGAAAAAATCTCAAAAGTGACCCTTCAATTTGGGATAAAATAATCTTTGCAGGAAAGACCTAATCTTTATCTTTCAAATTCGAAACTCAAACCTGCGGGTATCTTTCTGTGAAGAAGGCAAGAGACAGTTGATATAACTCGAATCCTGTAATGTTTACAACAAAAGTCCAACGGTCACGCTTTAAATAACACCAACTCGACAGTAATAATTTTAGGAAAAGGGCACAAAAATATTTATTGTAAAAGTTTTCTGAATTCGGCTTCTTTGATTAAGAGATGGCTTTTCAGTTTGGTGTATGAAAAACCCATGATATCGGCCAACTGGAGGAAAGGCAATACTTGACGAATACAAGTTGAGCACTACAATGGGTTCCATTTTTGTAACACACCCTTTTTTTAACGTCTAATTTGGGGGCTGAGGTTAAACGTTCTTTTTCATGTAATTTGAGTCTGAAAACTTTCTTAAGATGTTCTGAAACTTTTATTATTACGGACTAAATTTGACCACAATCTGAGTTGTTCTTCAGTTTATCGTACAGCAATGAAAACCGCATTTAGTTTATTGTCCTGTTTGACCACAGTTTAACATTTCTTTTGCCTTTATTTATTCTTCTCATAAAAAAAAAGATAAAAAAGATGAGCAAAATGAAAAAGTTCTCAACTGACTCTCAGCCTGGGTATGTTCTAAGAATGTTTTAAAAATTTGGGCTAATCTCAGCCTAAACGTTCCTATTAAAAAAGGTTCTTATAAAAGAAAAAAAAGGATCTAGTACTTGGAACTTAATTAATATTGGCTTCCATCCTACACGTAGCATATATATAGGCCAGACTGGTAAGCCCTCCTCATAATCTTGGAACTTCAGGTGGTTTTTCACAAAAAAAGAAGGCAAGAGAAGTTTGAAGTTAATGTAACTGTAACACTTTAATATAATTTTAAGCAGCGATGTCTATTTAACTGTCACAGGAGAGTTATCAACCAAAGCCACTCACTAGTGAGTAGAGCAGATATTCTGCATCCCATGTTGCAGGCTCTTTTTAGTGAGATTGGCAATAAAATTGTATGCTAATGGGATACTAAAATTTAACTTAAGACGTAGTTTGTTTGCGCAACCCTCTGATGTTGGTTTCACAATGCTTGCTCAATAACAGTTCAATTTAACCACTTTAGTTATAAGTTTTTTTTGTTAAAATCATTATGCAAAACTCTCTCATTGTTTTTGCTTATACTCCAGAAATGAAGCACTCTTAGTTAGTGTATACTAAAATCCACCTCTGGAATTATCGATGATCAAGTGTAAGAGACTTAAAAACTGTAAAAATTCTGGATATAACCCTTAGCTCATAATTTCATAGGAGCTTTTTGTTGGAAGGAAGATATTGACCAATTAAAAACTAGTTAGGCCTACAAATGGATGGCAAATTGCTTCTAATATTTTGCAAAATACATATAACAATACTGCATTGTATATATTTATAACTTAACAAGGCCGGATCAGTGGTTACAAGCTATAATGCAATACTGGCTGAAACTACACCCTTTAACCAAACAGTAATGATATGGATAAAAAAAAAATTCTGTTTAGTCATATTAAGAAAAATGGCGGGTATGTAAGGCCTACAGAGCTTACTATCAGGATGTATAAATTTGAGAATTTGGTAGCTTATATTGAGGTTGGGTACTTTAATATAGGCTTATATCCAAATGTTCAGGGTGTATTTTTATAACAGTATAACCCAAACATTTGCAGGAGCCTTAGATCCTGGCGGATTATACAATTCACTAAAACTGTAAGCGCAGGAGTATTTATAAGAAGTCTTGGTAGGGCTTTCCTTCGGTAACAGTGATTACGTGAAGAGAATCTACAGAAACTTTTTAAAATGATTGATAAAATAAAGGGAAGCTCTATTACTTTTGAAGAAAATTGAGGCAACTGGAACATACTATTTGCCTTTGAATCAGGAGACCCACACAAACTTTGACTATTAGTAATTTTTTTAAATATTGGGAAATGCAAAGCAAAACACCCCTTAACTATCATAATATTAGCAATTATGTCCAACATCATAACGAATATACTAATTATCTCAGTTGTATTTTGTTGTAACAGGGTAGTCATCGTTGTGTGTAAAAATAGCAAAAAGGAAATGTCACCATAAGTACGGAGTAGTCCCTGAGATTGGAAGAGTTTGGCAAAACAGTAGGTTACCTTGCACAGGATTACTTATACTTTGAGATAACAAAAACAGAACGATTCTATTAGCTATACTTAGGGGAAAGATACTGCTTTCTCTTGTCAATCTGATTTTTCACAAAGTATTAAACAGCATGCCGGTCCTTAAGTTGTTTGTATTTTAAAAGCAAGTGTTGCACTAAATGCACCATTTGCTTTTAAAATACAATTCTAAAAGTTTAGTTTTCTCAATAACGTCATTGTTTGACAAAGTTAAATATGTGATGCACCCTTTCAATTGGTTATATCTTAATACTCCAATCAAGAGCTACATAGCACTCTTAGTTTGTGTAATACTGAAATCTTCCATAAAAATGACTGAAAGTTGAAATAAGTAAAAATTCTGGACACAACCCTAAAATCCTATTTTTAAGGAAGCTTGTTTTTAAATTTTGTCCAATTATAAAATTTTGAGTTGGAATTACAAGTGGATAACATATTGATTCCAAGACTTTTAAAAGTTTTGATGTCAATACTACAGTGTATATCATTTTACACTTGACAAAGCCAATTTAATGGAGGATTGGTGGCTTACACTGTGGGGGGTATTTTGGGATTGGCCTATATCCAAAAATTTATGGTAGAATTTAACATATTCTATTTGTCGTTGAATCACAGTGTACCCACGCAAACTGTGACGGTAAGTTTTTTTTAAAATATTGGAGATGTTTCCCCACTACGGCAAGTAGCATTAGTAGCTATGCTTTTAAAGTGCTTATGACACGAAATTTTGAAATTTTTTATTTTGCATTTTCTGGTTGATAGCTTATTTAAAATTAGAGATCATTAAACATAGCGCTTAGCGAGTTCTCCTTGACCAATTTTTTTTTTAAATTGAAAGTACGATTTGGCGGTCAAAAAGTGTCGCCATTAAGCGAGCGGCCAAAACGATCATGTTTAGCTGTGACGTAGAAAACTGTGAAGACGCGTAAGCAATTATGGTGGAGAAAGGAGAAATATAAAAGAGAGGACGAACATAGTGCGTGGCTGGAGCGCCAAATGATGTTCGCTACAAGAATAATACACATAAACCGGGCAATTATATACACGACTTTCCAAATGACGATCGTCGACATCGAGGAGATTCTACTCTTTAATGTCGTCGGCCTTATTCTCCGTACCGGCTTCGAAGACGCCTGTTGCGAACACATACCACAAATAAGGGTAACATAACCGATGAATTCAGCTAAAACGAATGCTGATTAAGGGCCCTGTTTCCACACTATACACGATTGTTCAACATTCTTTCCGGCTGACATTTCGCAAATGAAAAGTGGTGAGCTCCTTCTTGATGTTTATTTCACGCGCTTGAGATGTACTCACACTTTTTGTCTTTCCACATGACTACATTTGCGCTTTTCTTATCGTATGAATATCATACCAATTGTAGTTTCCATCGTATTTTGATAAAAGATTTACATCAATTGTAATGAAGTTCAAGCCCTTTCCTGAGCTGACCGATATCCTGTTGCGTGAACAGTGCGCAACCTCTGACGGATACTGGCATAAAAACAAGCTTAAAGGGGCCGTGTATTCTCCTAACCTAGGTTTCCGAAAATCCATCTCACGAGCTATCAATTCCCCCCTACCCTCAAGAAACCAAAAGTAGCAATATTAGCAATTTCATTGGGATAACAGCACCGCAACGATATAAATAAGGAAACACAAATTTTATTGAATTAGATGGTAACGAATTCAAGTGCCGTATGAAAGTCGATGCGTACGAAATATTCATTAATA